ACCCGGCTGAACAAGCATTTCTTAAACAAACTTCCAGTCACAGCATTTGAGGATACATGAACAATATTTTGTTATCTTGTCACTAGTTGTCAAATGAAGAAATGCCAAGAAAATTACAATAGCCAAGATTTGGAAGCAGCCCAAGTGCATTAGCTGAGTGGGTAAAAAAGCTGTGGGACATTGACACAGTGGAATACTACTCGGCCATAAAAAGAAGGAAATCTTACCCTTTGCGACAGCGTGGATGGACCTGGGAGTATCATGCTAAGCAAGCCAGACAGAGAAAGACAAGCACCATGCGATTTCATGTATATGTGGAATCTAATGAACAAAAGAAACTAACAAAACAGAAGCAGACTCCTAGAGACAGAACAGACTGACAGCTGTCAGGGGAGGTTTGGGGGCTGGTGACAAAGGTGAAGGGATTAAGCAAAAAACAGCTCCCAAAGACAAACATCAGTACAGGGATGACCAGAGGAAAAGCGGGAGAGGAGGAAGAGGGGCAAGGGGGAATAAACGGTGATGGAAGAAGACTTGGCTTAGGGCAGTAAAAAGAAAGATGCATAAGAAAGTTTTGTGAAATCAAAAACATTCAGCATAATACAGGGGGAGGTGAAATCACTAAAAAATAAATAATTTTACTAATTTTCAAAATGAATTAGAGGATCAAAATTATCATAAGAAGATAAAGAAAGCCTTTCGAGCCCTAGTTGGTTTGGCTCAGTGGATAGAGCATCGGTCTGCGGACTTAAGGGTCCCTGGTTCAATTTCCTGTCAGGGCACATGCCTGGGTTGTGGGCTCGATCCCCAGTGGGGGGCATGCAGGAGGCAGCCAATCCATGATTCTCTCTCACCACTGATGTTTCTATCTCTCTCCCTCTCCCTTCCTCTCTGAAATCAATAAAAATATGTTAAAAAAAACACACACAAAATGCAATGTGGCTGTGCAAGAAAGAAAAAGAAAAGAAGAAAGAAAGAAAGAAAGAAAGAAAGAAAGAAAGAAAGAAAGAAAGAAAGAAAGAAGAAAGAAAGAAAGAAAGGAGAGAGAGAGAGAGGGAGGGAGGGAGGGAGGGAGGGAGGGAGGGAGGGAGGGAGGGAGGGAGATGATAGATAGATAGATAGATAGATAGATAGATAGATAGATAGATAGATAGATGCGAGCAAAGACCAGGGAGAAAGGGAGGTCCCTAAGTGACCATATACATCCACCCTGAAGTAACTGACACTCCCCTGGAGCCGTTAGGAAGAAAGAACACACAAGTCTGCAGGAAGCTGCCTTCGCATGACACCAGCTACCATATCACAGTGAAAGCAGGACCACCGCTTGCACAGGGCACCGTGGACCGGGCACTGGTCTGAGTGCTCGCACGCATCCACCCAGGAAGGAGGTGCTAGTCTGCCTGACGTACAGATGAGGAGACAGACAAAGATGTCTTTTAAAACACACCTGGACAATAATCGTGCACCTATGGATGGGGGGGGGGGGGAAGCTATGGGGAGAAAAACCGGGTGGGGGGGAGCTATGGGGAGAAAAAAGAGGAACAACTGTAATAATCTGAACAATAAAGATTTAATTTAAAAAAATAATAAAAATAAAACACACCCAAACCAGCGAGTTACAGAACTGGGTTCTAACTCAGGCACTCTCAGGCCTGGCAGAGACAAGTGGATCTCTCCCGCCCTAGAATTCAGAAATTATTTTTAAGTTCCTCCAACAATGTTTTAGAAACCTAATGGAGAGGCTTTAACACTCTCTTGTCTAATTAGAAAGTGTCCAGAATTTTCAAGCTGTAGTTTATTAACTACAGTGCCTATAACCCTCACTGGGAATACATGTTATAATTGCCTCAGGACTGACACAGGAGACACACAGATACACATAAACACACAATTACCTGAAGTAAACAAGACTATGCTCAACCAGTGCCCTTAGTATTCCAGTCCTGACAGGTTAAAGGAAATATACATAGTATATTCCCCCTTGATAAAGGCATCATGAGGCTTGGAGCAGCTAATTATGAAACCATAATAACCTTTTATCAAAGGCAATATAGGTTTAACTAGATAACATCTCTCTTTTTGTTAATCCTCACCTGAGGATAGGCTTTATTTTTTTTTATTGATTTTAGAGATCTAGGAAGGGAGAAAAACATCGATGTAAGAGAAACATAGGTCAGTTGCCTCCCCTGACTAGGAATCAAACCCGCAACCTTTATGGCACAGGAACAATGCTCCAACCAACTGAACCACCCAGCCAGGGCTGGATAACATCTTAAGAATTACATTAGCCCGGCCGGCATCTCAGTGGTTCAGTGTCAACCTATGAACCAGAGGTCACTGTTCGATTCCTGGGCAGGGCACATGCCTAGGTCAGTGATGGCGAACCTTCTGAGCTCGGCGTTGTCAGCATTTTGAAAAACCCTAACTTCACTCTGGCGCCGTGTCACATGTAGAAATTTTTTGATATTTACAACCATAGTAAAACAAAGATTTATATTTTTGATATTTATTTTATATATTTAAATGCCATTTAACAAAGAAAAATCAACCAAAAAAATGAGAGTTCGCGTGTCAGAGTGTCATAGGTTCGCCATCAGTGGCCTAGGTTGTGGGCTCAATCCCCCAGTAGGGGGCGTGCAGGAGGCAACCAATCAATGAGTCTTTCTCATTGATGTTTCTATCTCCCACTCCCTTCCTCTCTGAAATAAATTTTTAAAAAATACCAAAAAGTAAAAGAGAATTACCTTAGCCCTAGCTGGGTAGTTCAGTTGTTTGGAGCATCATCCCAATACACCAAACTTTCCGTTTCAACGCCCAGGTCAGGGCACATTCAGGAATCAACCAATGAATGCATAAATGGGCGGAACAACAAATCGAGGTTTCTCTTTCTCTCTCAAATAAATAAATTAAATAATAAGAATTACTTCAGATAATCTTGACTTGGTCTTTTATATATTTTATTGATATTTTACAGAGAGGAAGGGAGAGGGATAGAGAGAAACATCGATCAGCTGCCTCCTGCACACTCCCCACTGGGGATGTGCCCGCAGCCCAGGTACATGCCCTTGACCGGAATCGAACCTGGGACCCTTCAGTCCGCAGGTCCACGCTCTATCCACTGAGCCAAACCAGTTAGGGCTTGACTTGGTCTTTTAAACCATTAAGTTTTTAGAAACAGCTTTTCCCCAGAACTGTAATTTAATAAGTCAAATAAGCAAATAGTCACTTAAGTCTTTAAGACGCACAGAGGAACATGCTCTATAGGATGGGCAGCCTCTGGAAGGCAGCAGTCGATTCCACTGGCTCGGATGATGCTGACAGAAGGCTCTGCCAGAGAACAGGCCAAACGTTCTAAAAAGCTCTCAGCGCCCCGTTAATCCACTGACAACTCAAACGGCTACAACCGCCGGGTTCTTAAATGAACGTCTGGACCAAACTCACAGCTTTAAGAAGAAGTGGTACCTGGGACGGTGAACACAGAACACAATATGCAGGTGCTGCATTACAGAATTAACTGTACACCTGAACCCTACACGCAGTAACCAATGACACCCCAATAAAACCAATAAAAAAGAAAAAAAAGTGGTACTCCGTTCCTTTTGCAGAACAGTCGATGAGATGTCCCAGTACTCAATATATACACTTCTCCACAAAGATTTGGACAGTTTCCTTCTTTCAATACTGCTACACATTCAGTTTTGTAAATTACTTCTCTGATCTCGGTTTGAATTTAAGTTTTTTAACCCCTCATTTTATGTTCACAAAACCAAACATTTAGTTGAACTGTCTACTTCTTAATTTCTCTAACCACTCTGATCTCGAAAGCAAACCTGAACTTGGAATTTACACCACGGCTGAAAAATTCTAAAACCTTGTGCTCAATGCCTCCCAGACTTACACTAAATAGGGGTTTCAGAATAATCGGGCATGCCATATGGTCAAGCCCAGATAATAAAACTGAGACTGTCTATTACCAATCCACTAATGCTAAAAGCCAGAGTGTACACAGCAAGAATTTAATCCAATTCAGAGACCCACATGAGCCAAATCCTTTGGCCAGAGAAAAAAACAATCCAATTAATAAACTACAGTACATGCCAGGGCTGCACACTAAAGTAAAATCAATGTTATTCACTGAAGTATTAGCTGCGAAGCCAACTGACGGTGGACAAGTCTACAGACATCCTGAAGACCTTTCCCGAAGATATTTGAGGAAATATAACTTTTCCAATCAAATCAGTGAATAAAAGACAATCAAAGTGACCAGGCATGAAAAAGATTTTTTTTAAATATTTTTTTACTGATTTCAGAGAGAAAGGGAGCGGGAGAGAGAGAGAAACACCCATGATGAGAGAGAATCACTGACCCGCTGCCTCCGGCACGCCCCCCACTGGGGACCGAGCCCCCACGTGCCTGACCTGGAACCAAACCGTGACCTTCTGGTTCATAGGTCAACGTTCAACTCCTGAGCCACAGCCCGAGGACATTTTTTCCACTGATTTTCAAACGAAGTGGAAAGGAGAGGAAGAGGAAGAGAGAGAGAGAGCGAGCTCCATGTGGAGGCACATAGACTGGCTGCCTCCACAGGCGGACAGGCCCAGGCCCCTGCCCAGGAACGAACCCGGGACCAGGGCCCGCAGCAGGGCGATGGGCACCCACAACAGGGCTGCGGGCTGCGGGCTGCGGGCGCCGGGCACAGCCTCGAAGGAAACGGGCGGCCAAGGGCCCGGGACAGCAGCGGCGCTGAAGGTGCAGCCCCGGAAGGACGGGCCCGGCTCGGCAGCTCCGACTCCGCCGGGAGATCGGCAGAAGCTGCCACCAGTTCGGGGCGAGGCTCACACCGACCGCCACGTCGGGCGCCGCTCGGCCCAGCCGCCAGCCCAGGCTCAGGGGGAGCAAAAAAGGAACTGCCCGCCGCTCCGGGCACAGGCACTGCTGGGAGGACCGGGCAGACCCTGCCGGTCCCCCTGGAATCCAGACAACCCTTCCTTCCGGATAAAGCACCCTCCACCCCGCACCCCACACACCCCCCGAAAGGCGAAGCTCAAATGAGAACCAGAGAGGCCGCCGGACTCGGAGGAGGGTCCCGCTCCGGACCGCCTCCAGGATCCGGGACCCCGCCAGCGGCCCACCTACTGGGTGAGTAACCGACACGTCCGCTCGGAGGAGCCCCGGGGGTCGCCTCTGGGTGAGGCTCCCGGACAGGCGGTCAGCGCCGGGCACACACGGAACCCACGTTCCCCACACAGGCGCCGCCCTCCCGAGGGGGACCCGACCCCGACGACAGCGCTGCCGGGAGGAACCGGGGCGAGGCCGCCGCTCCCGTGCGCTCGCCGCGCCGCGAGGGGCGTGGGAGGCTCCTCCGTGGGACCAGCCACCCGCCCGCGAGGAAACCCCGCGGCTGCGTCCCGGGCCGGGGCTTGGCCTCCGCGGGGGGGACGGCTAGCACCCCCTCCCCCACCCGCGGCCAACGGGACGCCCGCCGGGCGCCGCGGGCACCAGCCCCCGAGGGCTCCCCCGCTCCGCTCCCCTCCCCGGCGCCCCGACCCCGCACCGCGGGCCCCACGCCGTCGGGGCGGAGGGTCCGGGAGCGCGCGGCGCTGACAAAGACGGCGGCGGCCGCGCCATCTTGTCGCGGGGCCTGGACGCCCGGCCATTCATCAGGGCGCGGGGGCCGCGGGGACCCCGGCCCGGGCCTGCCCCCGCGTCCGCCGCCCCGCCCGCAGGCCCCGCACCGCGCGCGGCAGCAAACAGCGAGGACGGGCTCGCCGTGGGGCTGCCTCCCGCCTCCGGTCCAAACGGGGCCGACCGGCAATCGCGCTGGTGCGGACGCTCCCAGCACAGCCCTCCGGCCCCGGCCTCAGTCCCCCCGAGGCCCGGCGGCCGCGCTTCCTCATTTCATCGCCCCCCGGCCCCCGCCGTCACCAAACCCCAACTCCGAAGCCCGGAAAGAGGCCCCGTGCCCAGCACCCCGAGGGCCCGGCGCCCACACCCACCGCGGACCCGCCGCGCCGCCTTTGTTCTCGCGGCCCGACCGCCGGCCGCGCGGGAGGGGCCCGGCCCGGGCCTCAGACCCGGGACCGCGCCCAGAACCCCGACGGGACCCCGCACCCCACCCAGGACCCTGACGGCGGGCCCAGGTCTGGGAGCCAGGACCCGGGACCCCAGCACTCGGACCCAGGTCCCCGGACCACAACCCCGACCCGGACCCCTGACCCCGGCCCCGGAGGCGAACCCCGGACCTGGGACCCCGGACCACGGACCTCCGCCCCGCCCGCGGCCGCCGCCCGCAGGGTCCCCCGCCGCCGCCCCACGGACCGCACCCGGGCGGGGCAGGAAGACGCGGCCCGCGGCGGGGGGGGGGGGGGCCTGCGGGCGGCGGCCGGGGGCCGCGGGGAGGGCCCGGGGTCAGCCGCCCGGCAGGGGCAGCCAGGCCGGGGCCGCGGGGCTAGGAGGAGCGGGGGCCGCCGCGCTCACCTCGGCGCTCGTCCCGCCGGCCGCGCCCGCACCCCGCGCCTCAGCCTCGGCCGCCGCTCCGGGGGGGGTCGCGCTCCGGCCTCCGCGGGCGCTGCAGGTGCGCGGCGAGGCTCGGTCCGGTCCCGCGGCGGCTGCTCCTCTCCGCGCCCGCGCCCGCCGCCGCCTCCGTCCGCCCTCAGACGCCTCCAGCCATCGATGGGCGCGGCGGCCCCTGTCCGCAGCCTCGGGAAACCCCACGGCCGCGTCACCGCGCACGCCGCGCGCACGCACGACCTGGCCGCTCCCCTGGCGCGCGCACGCACGCGAGCTTCCTCCCGCCGGGCCCGCGCGCGAGGCAATTAAAGGGGCCGCGCCCGCCCGGACCCCGCGGTTCCGAGGCAGGGAGGCCTCGCCCCGCCCGGGCACCCCGAACCCCCGTTCCGCACCGGCGCCCGCGGCCCTCGCCCCGCGCGCCCAGCCCGGCCGCCCTCAGCGCAGGGGTCCCACGAGCTGGCCGAGGTCGGCCTCCAGGGCCCCGCGTCCCCGCCGCCTCCCGTCCTCCCGGCTGATGTCTGGCTCCCGGTTCCAGGGATGCCCCCCACCTGCCTCTGCACCACGAGGCCTGCAGCCCGACCCCCCGGCGCCACCCCACCCCCGCTGGGCTCAGGCACTGAGAGCGCACCAGCGCCCAGGGGTGCCCTCGCCCCCAGCGGTGCCCTCGCCGCTCTTGCCTGCATGTCTGGGTGGCCCTGCAATCCAGCCCGGACCACCCCACCCATTGGGGACCGCTCCCCAGGTCACGGCCCCCCACTGGGCCTTCCCTTCTGCGCCCACCCATCCCCCATCCTTGCCGCCCGCCCTGCCTCGGGTCCTGGCACAGGGCGCCCCAGGCTCATCCCAGGCCTTCCCTGCTCCAACCCTAAACTCAGCCATGTTCCCCAGAAATCCTGATTCCTGCCAGTGCTTAGGGGCCGGGGTCAGGGCTCCGGGGGTGCTTGGTGCTCCTGGGGTGTCATTGCCTGTGGTCCCTGCCAGGGGACAGGACTAGGGAGCACATGTATGTACACGCACACGACCCCCCAGGTAGTCAACTTCCCATGGCCTCGGACACCCCACCCCCTCCCCCACAGGGACTCTGGCCCCCAGGGAGCCACCAGGGCCCCCCCTGCAGAGAGGTTCACCTTCATCAGCGGAGCAAGAACCGAACCAGCCGATTGCTCCTCTGGATAAAGCTGGCATCGCCCCCCCCACACACACACCTAACCTGCAGGTCCCTCTGCCCTCCCAGCTGTGGGTCCTCTCTGCTCCCTGCACAGGGAGGCCACCACGCTCAGCAGACAGGATGGGAGAGGAGGAGGGGGAGGAGGAAGGGGAAGGAGAAGGGAGCAGGTGGGGTGTGGGTGGAGGCTGACCAGGCCGGGGAGCTGGAGGGTGAGTGTCTGTGGGGATGGCAGGAGGCCTGGGGACCCTCAGAACCCTCACCCCAGGGCCATGGCGGGCACCAGGCTGCAGGCCTGCCCGCGTCCGGGGCCCTCACAGGCCTGGCCCCGGCTCTCCTGCCCCGCCCCCCCATGATCCCGGTCGGGCTCCTCCCCAGTTGCACCAGGGCTGCAGGGCTGGGCCCCTGGACCACTGCCCACCCCAGTGGTTCCAGGGTTTCGGGGGCCGCCCCGGCACCCCAGCTAATCTGTAGGTCCGCAGGGTGTGGCAGCACCTTCCCTGAACTGGCCCTGTGGCCTCGACCTGAAGTCCTCCTTTATGTGTTTATGGACGGGTGTGAGGGCAAAGGTGAGGGGGCGGGCGGGGGGGGCTAGGTCCCTGTCCCCAGGTCCCCCTGCAGCCAGGCTCCCGGCCTTCTCTGCTGTGCACTGAGGGGCCCAGGCACCCCCTTCCCACACCAGTGCCCAGGCCACAGGGCCTCTGGCTTTGGGACGCATGAGTGGGGCGTGGTCAGCTCTCAGGAACCCACGGTGCCTCCAGGGTCTGAAGGCCACTGTGGGGACCCTGCTCTCCCTGCCCTCACCCTCCCTCCCGCCCGCCCGCCCAGGCCTCCTACAGATTTGGCCCCAGCTGCTGCCTGGCCCCTCCTCCACGGGGCGTGAGCTCCTGCCCAGGGGGCAGAACCCAGGCTCCTGACTTCCCAGCCTCACGCCCTTCCTCTGGAGACGTGGCTGAGCGACCAGCCTGTGGCCCGAGTCCACAGCTGCACCGGCCAGCAGGGTCCAGCCCAGGGCCAGGCCGCCGGCAGCTGCAGGGCCCCGGGGTGAAGGAGGCTGCCCAGGTGCCTGGCTGAGAGCCAGGCCTTTACTGGAAACCCGGGGGGCGCAAATGCATAATTTAGATGCACCTCCACCCCATCTGCTCTTCCGCAGGACTCGGCCTGACAGGGAACTAGGTCTTTTGAAACGTAAATTATTCAAGCAATCTGTGCACATAAGCAATCTGTGCACATAAGCAGGACCCGCCGCGCCCATCGGCCGCCAGCAGGCCAGGCTTTGAAGGGTGTGGGAGCCGAGGGGGCTCCCGCAGGGTCTGTTGGGGGGGGGGGGGGTCCTGCGGGGCCAGGTCTGCCTCAGCCACGTGGGGCCTGGCGCTGCTGCCTGTAAGTGAGGCAGGAGCCTGACCTGCCTGGAGCCCCAGAGGACCAGGGAGGAGGGCGAGGGAGGGAGCGGAATGTAGGTAATCCAGACGCGATAATTAGTCCCGCGGCTTCCAGACGCAGGGTTTGGTGACAAACGGGGTCAGGAAAGCGAGGAGGCCGCTCCTCGCAGCTTCTCTCGGCAGACATGGGCGCCAGGGGTGTACACCTGCCCGGACACGGGGTGGGTGGGGTGGCCAGTGTAGCAGGCAGCAAGGAAGCGAGAGGAGCCATGTGGGTGCTGAGGGGGGCGGAGGCTGGTGGTCTCAGAGCCCAGGGAGGGGTCAAGGCCCCAAGATGGGTGTGGCCAGCAAGATCGGGCATCAAAACCAGGAGGCTGGTGTGCTGGGCAGACGGCCTCACCAGCCCTGGGGAGGGTGCTGGCATTGCCTCTGCTGCCGGCGCCCTGAAGGACCCCTGCACCCTCCCCCCGTGCAGTAGAAGCAGCCCCCTCCCCCCTTCCTGTCCCCAAGCCCCAGCCATGCTTCTGGTGAGCTGACCCCTGTGCCTGGCACCCTCCTGGTCACCCCCTTTGGTCAGGAACTGGACATCCCTCAGGGGAGGCATGGGAGAGGCGAGGCCTGGCTCCATCGGTGGGTTTGGGAGTTCGTGGAGCGAGGCACCTTTGTTTGAGAGCACAAACCTCTCTAACGGAGAAGGAGGCAACCGTGAGCCGGGAGACTCGTCAGATCTTAGGGCAGCGAGTGGCAGAAGCTCAAACCAGCCGATGTGAAAAGAGGCAATTGACTGGCTCAGGGAACGAGTCCATGTGCAGATGGTGGGTATCAGGCATGGCTGGATCCAGGCATTCCCCGAGGCTGTGAGGCTCCCTACTTGGCTCTGCTCCCACCCCCTCCCGTGGTGCTTCCTCTTCTCTCTCTCTGCCTGGCGGGGAATGGCCGCCTCCTGTCGCCCCCAGCCTAGAAGCTGCGGGGCTCCACGGGCTCTGGAGTGGCCCGTGTTGACCCAGGAGGCCTCTGAAAGGCCGCACTCAGGTTCCATGTGGTCCTGGAGGCAGGGGGTGGAGGAGCCAGAGTTCGGGCCC